CCCAGATCGACGCAATGCAATCAACCGCACCTCATGTTCCCTTTGCCATTCCCAACTCAGTCAAGCAAAGCTAGCTAGCAGCACAGCAAAGAGGGTGCCGATGAATGGACGCCTTGACTGCAATGCCAAGGATGTGAAACAACGGCATTTCAGTCCCCTTTGGACCCGAATCGAATGCCCGGACACTCCCGAGAGGTCCATCGTGCATCAAAGCTTAGATACTCCAGTGTCTCCTCAGCGTTGAACGCTTGACAACCCCGACTGAATGGAGTTGACTCGACTCCGATTCGACTCAGTGGACTCAACTCGCATCGACACTAACCTTGACAAGTTTGGCAGCCGCTGTTGACTGCCACCATCGTTGAGAGCTCACAAACAGCAGCAATCGCAACAACGAAAAGATCATCCCCTCCCGTATCTAACATAAAGCAGTAATACACAATGGCTGATGAATCCGGTGTCGTCAACTTGGTGCGTTGGTTGATGGGTTGTTCTACTGGCCTGTCTTGGACTGGGCTGGTTCTTCTGTTTGTTTGTTTTTGCTGTTCTGTGACTTTTTTGTTTCTCATCGTGCCTCTGTGCTTCTGTTTCTGATCATCCATCCGCTCTATTTATTGTGTACATAGGAATCCCGCGAGGGCGAATGCTTTGAAGTTCCCGTCAAGGTGGCTCGTTTGTCTCAGATGATTGACGAGATGTTTGACGAAGACGAAGACATGGAAGACAAGAAGGTTCCCCTGCCCAACGTGTCGTCGGAAGTCTTGCGCAAAGTCATTGAGTTTGGAAAACACTACCAAGAAGAACAAATGACTCCCATTCAAACACCACTCAAATCATCCAATATCGAAGATCTCGTGCAATCCTGGTATGCCGAGTTTGTCAATCTACCGCAAAAGCAACTCTTTGAACTTGTGGCTGCTGCCAATTATCTCAATATCAAGCCATTGCTCGATTTGACCGTATTGGCCGTTTCCATTCTCATCAAGGGAAAATCCGCAGCCGAATTGCGCGAAATTTTCAATGTCACGGGTGATGCGGCCGAAGGAGACGGTGAAGCCGCGGCGGCGGGAGATGGCGACAACTAGAAAATACACACAAATATGATATTATATACATGAAAATGAGAATGCGACAATATCGTTCCTAGTCTACTTGGGTCAAAGATTTTTTATTACTTTTTTTATTGTAAAAGGAGGTAGCAATCCTACAATTCACTTGCGAATCGAATCTTCCATCGTATCGTTCATCGTTGAGCATTTGGAGCTGAACGAACGAACGTCGTGGCGGAACTCTTTCTAGGCCATTGCTGATGCTCAAAGCACGTGGAGAAAGCACGGAAGACGAGAACCAAGATCAGCGTTCTCTGGAGTCGAGTCGTCAAGGGAGGTTCATCTGGCTGCCGGTGCCTTTTGAGGGGTACGGTAGCACCGCTGTTCAGAGCCCGTCACTCATTTTGCATCCATCCATCCATCGACTCGACTCGACTCGGCTCCCTTCCCATCGTAGTACAATTGCCAGATCACACTTCATCACTTCTTTGGATCGCGAGGCACTATTCATCCTGGACTTTTTCAGAGGTACCGTAGTTCCAAACGAGCGACAATTCCTACCGTGCTAGTCGGGCGCCCCTGCATACATCATCACATTGTTTCTGGCGTCCTCCAATCCCAATCTTTGCATCAAAAGAGCCGAAACCATTCTACTTGGCTAGCTAGCTATTGATCCCTTTTCCGAGTTTCCAAGCAACCCTTGTACCGTACTACGATGTATGCACTTGCAATCCCTCCCATGCAAGGATTCGATTCCAAACTTAGCTTCCGCACAATTATTACATGTGTGCATAGGCTGTAGACTACAATAATAATCCGCTTCAAAACAAACAAAGATTCGTTCACTTTTGCATAGAGAAAGAAAAGGGGGAGAGGTTGTGAAAAGGGGGTCCCTAAATATTTTGTTCTGTTGATCGGTTCCGGATGTTTGATTGGCACATCGGCGGCCAACAGAACTTGAACTTCTTTCTTTGTTGCTTGTTGTTGTCTACTAGTACCGTACTTCCACAATCTCTCATCTTTAGATAACTATTCTTTGAAAACATAATAATGAGCGAGACAGGAACCGTGATTCTGGTGAGATAGCTATTGGCGGAAACTGTGAGATCGAATCGATGTTTCGTTCGTTCCATGAGCTGACCCTCCAATGGATGGTATCTTTGTCTTCTTCTTCTTCGTCTTTATAGGTAAGCCGAGAGGGCGAAACCTTTGACGTGCCGATCAAGATTGCCAAAATGTCACAGTTGGTGGCAGATACATTCGATGAAGATGAAGACAGTGATGATGAAGACGACATCAAGACCATCCCATTGCCGAATGTGAGATCCGACATTCTCCGGAAGATTGTCGAATTTGGAACCTACTACCAAGAGACTGAGGCCATGACGGCCATTCAAACGCCATTGAATTCATCCAGGCTCGAGGACCTTGTACAGGAATACTACGTAGAGTTTGTCAATGTGGAAAACAAGATGCTGTTTGATCTTGTTGCTGCAGCCAATTTTATGGACATTAAGCCGCTGCTGGATTTGACTTGTTTGGCAGTTTCCATCATGATAAAGGTAAGTGTGTTGCTCTTTTGACTATGTATTATCTTGCGCGAGTTGGTTTGGCTGGAATCATATGCTAATGCATGCATTACTGAATTACCACAGGGTAAATCGCCCGAGGAGCTGAAGGAGATGTTCAAAATCAAGGGGGCCAGCAGCGCAGAAGAAGACAAGCAGGTCCTGGAAGAGAACGACTTTATACAACAATCAACAGAAACCTAGCTAGACTAGTACATGTTGCCAGTCTTTGTACTAGCTAGGAATGCGTATCACCTGCTTTTATGCATATCTATACACTATACATACATGATATATTATACAATCTGTATCAGTATCACTTGAAAACGGGAAAGGATAGAGCGCACGAAACATCCGTCGAGTCGGTTACATGTAGTCTACTTGCTCTCTAGCTAGACTAGTAGTAGAATGCGATGGGATTTCTAGATACCGGTACAAGATGTGCTTCTAGCTAGTAGGGGAGCTTTTTTACATGCATATCATTGCACCGCTTTTTCTACAATAGACAAGTGACTGGGTTAGTTAGTTAGACAGTACTGTAGTCACAACGTGATGAATCTAGTGTAGTGCGATTGATTGTGCTCTCCATCGCTTCGTGTTCAACAGAGGACGATGCATTTGGCCACCTGTCTAGCTAGCTAGCATTCACTTTTAAAGTACATAGTTTGGCTTGATGTTGCTATTGCTATTTCAAGTTTCCCCTTTTGTGGCTCGTAGCTATTGATTCCTCTCTTTCACATTCTTTCCGGGCCGATTGCATTCGGCCCCAAAGTAGCTAGCGACAAAAACAATGGAATCGAATGATTCAATCTACCGCTTCTGGCGCTTGTTGTCATTCTCTTGCTGCTCTGTTTCGGGGGTCACAGGTCTGGCATTCTTAGGAGGACGTGTATTGTTGTTGTCTGTCTGGGATCGGATCAACCACCGACTCTTTCCGTGTACTCTCCAACGCAAATTGGCCGTAGCTGCAACAGCTCCGCTCTGGAACAGACGGCGCTCCATTTCGGTCAATTGGTTGGTATACGATGTGACATCATCCCCAACACTGCTCAAGGACCAATCCAAAGTTTGGCGCAGGCGTTCGCCTGTGTACGTCTACATAGAGATCCAAAGATTGTGATGTGAGCAAAAGATGGGACCACAGGACTTCATACATCCAAAAACTCCACATTGGTTTAGCTTGCTTGCTTACCTTGAGCAATGTATTTCGCAGTTTCTTGGCTTCCAATGCCACTTGCTCCAATCGATCCCTTCGAGAGCTGGCTGCAGACTTTGACACCTTTTGAACACTGGTTTCAATCAAGTCAACCAAGAAACGTCCTGCCATGAAGTATCGTTCATTTCTCTTCCTGGTAGGTATAGTATAACAAAACCAGAGTTAGAAACACTTCATCGATCTCATCATCAAGTTCAGTTCACATTCAGGTACCATGGCTTACCTCAAGTTGACTTCTGAGGGTGCCGCTTCCAGCCGTTCTCGCGCCTTTCGCTGATAGTGGCGAGGGATCCCAATATTGACAAAGTCCAAAGATGCCCACTTGTCAAGTGCCCACAATGGTAGCTTGACCCGACTTCCCTCGGGCAAGTAGTGTTTCCCAGTGCCGTGAAGATCAGGGTCCAAATGCGCCAGATAAGAGAAATCAAAGTTCGTCGAACAGGGAACCAGTTCCTCTTCTGCCAAGATGGCGTCGACATCGTAGTAGTTAGGCATGCTGCTTCACACTCTTTCCTCTTCTTATACAAAACAAATAATGCAACAACCCAACACGAGCACCCTCTTTGAAAATTAATTGTGATGATGCCGTGATGGAGCCAAATTGTGAAGAGGAATGGCGGGGGGAAATGGTTCGAAATATTTAGCCGCGCCCACCACTTCAAGCTACAGCCAGTTAAGCTGTGAACAATTACATTATGGCGAGACGAGCCTCACTCTCTCCGTTTAGAGAGCTTTTGCATCGCCGATCGATCGGTGGTGACGGTGATGGAGTCTTCAGTTTGACGAAATCAGACCTGAAGGATCCTGAAGGTCAGCAAACACAAGGCTTGATCTTTCTACCGGTAGGTTCGATAGCTCGTTAGGCCATCCTTGAGCATGGAAGCCGAGCAAAAAAGATTGAGCGAAAATATTAGAGCCATGGTCACCAAGAGTAGCAGTATCGACGCTAGTTCGAGCATCGTCGAGCATGACAGAGAGGATCCACGGGGGAACGCCGAACTTTCGTTCCCATCAGTTGAGGCCCAAGAACAGCCAGCTGCAGATGCAGTCAATTCAAGTCTCCGTCATGAGAACCAATCACATCAGCTATGGGCCAGAAGGGTGCGACCAATTTTGATTTTGGCATTGGCAGCACTGGCCTTGCAGGGTTTGCATGTGTGGCACGGCCATGAAGGCGAACGGTTGACATCGACAAATTCAGGACTTGAGGAGAAAACTTCAATCAACACTGTGCTAGAATTAGGTCCTCGTTTTGAAGATAAAGATGAACCACGTTTGCGTGCTTCCGAACCTCGTTTTTCTCCATTTTTCTGCCACAACGATCCTGATGTGCTCAAGTTCTTTGAGAAGAACAGCAAGCATTGGGGCTACAAGACTTCCTTGTCAGACTTGGATGTTTGGGTTGTTTCACATGGAGGTGTGGCTTCAGAATACTTGTATTCCCATCTGAAAGACCGTGACATCCATCTGGTTCCAAGCCCGAAGCACAACCTTGCATATTTGTGTCATTTGGGCAATCCAGAAATGGTTGAATTGGTCTATCCATCGGACACACCCATCTTGGTCATTATTGGTGACTTTTGGAGGGCATTGATGTCCATGCACCGGCGCAACTATTTGAAATTGAATATGGCCAAGATTGTATTTGGAGAAGAACGCTGCAAAATGCCAAAGTACAAAGATTATGTGTCCAAGAATCCCAATGATCCTGCTGGGATCAAGGCCATGATCAGGACCTACACCAAGCTTCCAAATGTTGTTTTCCTAAAGGCCCCATACAGCAAAGAATCTGTCATGCAAGCTGCACAATTGCTGGGACTTGACAAACTGCAAAACCTCTCATCCCTATTCCAAGGGTTTGAAGCACATCAGCGACAAACCAACAACACATTTATTGTACCTGAACTTATTCCCATCTACGAGCCCTACAAGGAACTGCATCAGTTGCTAGACAACTCAACCATTCCGCCTGTCTGGACTTCATCGCAGCTGCCTGTGGAGCTGGAGATGTACCTCATCAAAGAGGCAAATGTGAATAGATAGCAAAATGGGATAAAAGTCCATCCCTGTTGAGGTGGCACTTGCTTTGTGGTTGCACCCGTACCCCACCTGCGTGCCAGCATATGCAAAAGCAGTTTGGAAGGCTTTTCCGAGTCCAGTCGCTTGAGTCCACCCGTCACTCTTGTGCAACTACCGGTACCAAGTAGCGCAGGCGTCCCAGCATGGGACCATGAAGCTCAATGGTGTCGCCGAATCCGCTATTAGTACCCCTTCTAAAACCGACCGAGCGGAGAGTATTACTGTGTATCGCGGCGCCACATTTTAAAAGAAAGTTGCTCAGCTATCTCATCCTTACTGGGCTTGCGGACAACGCAATTGCCTTTATCACGAAAGCTTAAGGTTTGGTTAAAAGTGCGTGTTGTCAACTGCAGTTCATGATCGGCAAGGCAGTACTATTTCTAGCTAGTTAGTAATTGGACGAGACGGCTTGGGTCCACTGCTGATGTGACCGCAATTGAGACAACTGCCATCGCAAACCATGTGACCTTGGAAGTGCCCATTCCTCGTGGGTTGACAGGCTTCTGACGTTTACCTACAGTATGGAAGAAGGAAACCAGTACACTCAGTCTTCAATGGTGTCCCCGTGGATGCGGAATCGGTAGATGCAAGTGTAGTCAGCGTTCCCCCAGTTGTCCGTCACCTGTAACCGGATTGCATTGACACCTTCATTGATAGAATCGGAGCGATCCGGAGACGAAAACAAGGCGTCATTGCCTTCCATGCCTCCCCCACAAGTCCCAGTGTCTTGCGCGCAAGTGCCGCCGTCACCGCCCTCGTCCTCTTCAATCTCCTCCTCGGGTAGTGGAATCTGAAACGTCTGAATACTAGGCCCCGAAATGTTGTATTCAAAGTCGTGCAGAACAATCGGTTTCTGAATGTCAAAGTTCAGTCCATCTGGACACAAACCACGAACGTAGTCAGCGTCGTCTTCGTCCGAATCGTTGCCTTCATCCAAATAGTCGTCTTTGATGTAATCACTCTGTCCGGCTTGCTTCACCCAGCACGGCGGGAAACCAAACACTCGAACAGTTTTTGGGGCACTCTTGCGTTCAAAGGGATCTTCAAATAAGAGTTCCGGGGCATGATCCATAGTCACAGCTCTGACCTTGACAGGGTTCTGCAGCCGCAGTGTTACCTGTCCCGATGAACCTGCCATTGGCCAACAAGAGCCGGGATAGAGGTGTGGTGTTAGAATAGCTTCCGGTGGTGCCGTGGCTGCCATCTTATGGAAACCCTGATGAACGAATAAATGAATGAGTGATAAGCATTTCCAAAGCAAGGCACCAGCAAGCAAGCGAGATCGGTCAGTCGGTCAGTCAGTCGAGGAACCATCCTTTCGCCTGGCATGACAAGCAATCCAACATTACTTACAAAGGTATGGTAGACATAATCGGGAATGGCCACGTTCCATTTTCTCCATCCGACCGGCATTATTGCATCTAGCCCCCGTTCCCAGTCATCCGGCAAATACTGGAACCACCACTGGGCATCAATGGGACTATTTTGTTTGGCAGCCGGTACATAGTTGTCACTGGTGAGAAAGTGTACCACAGATGCTTGGGCGAGGTGATCTACCATTCCCACAGTGTCGTGAGAATATTTGACCAAAGATTCTTGCACTAGATGGACGGCATCGACCAGAGTGGCACCCGAGCATTCCACCTCTGGTGCTGCTTCGTCATCATTGTCATCTACCACTTCCGGTTCCTCGACGGCCTTTCTCATTTCATTTCCCAGTTCACCCAGAGCAGTTGTTGCTTCAATGACGACTTCCTCCAATTCTTCTTGCAATGCTGCCACTTCCTCTTCGACCAGTTTGACACACCAATCTTCGAGCTTTTCGTCGCTCTCCTTGACAATGGCTTTGACGTCTACCAGATTTTGGAGTTGGGCCTTGGTAATGGCACCTTCTGGTACAATCGTCTTTTGTTTCTTTTTCATTTGCTTTTTCTTTTTCATTTTCTTCTTCTTCTTCTCCTTTTCTCTCTTCTTGATGGCCTTTTCTCGTTTGGCTTCTAGTTTTTGTTGTTGCTTTTCTCGTCGCGTGGCTTCCCGTTCCTCTTTTTCTTTTAACTTTTCTCGTCGTTGCAACTCTCGTTTTCGCAACTCTTCCATTTCTTTCTTTAATTCCAAAATCTGTTCGGCATTGAGATCTCGTATGCGCTTATCGATGCGTTCCGCCTTTGTTGCCACAGCTTCTTTCAGATCCTCAATCTCTTGTAGCTTGGTCCCGAGTCCGTCGTCGTCTTGGACAATTTGGTGGGAGAGTGTGGAGAGTTTGGATTTGGCGTCATTGTAGTCGTCTAGAGTCCGTTTGGCCATATCAAATGCCTTTTTGAGTTTGCGATCCAACTTGACTTCTTCTTGGCGTGCCTTTCGGCTCTCTGGATCCAACATTTCCAAGCCAGTCAAATTATTATTGGTGGCTGCATTGGCCAGCGAGACGAGAAAACTGCTGCTCCAGACCACCAACAGGATGTGGAGCGATACTGCTACTAGCGGTCGCCGAAGCCGTGAAGACGACATGGTCAAACTTTGTACGGTGGTAGTCCTCTTGCACAATCTACTACTTCAGCTCAATGATTCGATTCCACGCCATTGTGAAACAGCCTTTCGTTGTTGGTCAGTTGTTGGTCGACAAACACTTTGGAAGCACAATCGCTCCGATCGCAGAAAAAGATCATTCCCGTTCGTGTCTACATTGGTTGCGAGGGTGAAGGATACTGTATGGTATCGTACTTAGAAAAACAGCGCACGTGCCAGTCTCAGCATCGGCACGAGCATCCTTCATCCTTTCGCAGCAATGGTGAAAACCCGGACCATGATGTGCTCCACCTCTTCCATCCGAACACCAGGTGCTTGAACAGCTCTTGATGAACACATCATATCCATCTCCTGTTTCATGGACGACACATTTCTAACCCATCGTCAAGAGAATCAATCCTACAACATGCGCATGCAAGCAACAACTCCATCAACCATGGACTCCAGAACTACATGTACTTGCCAAGAAGGCACTCATCAGTCATCCTCACCTGATGTTCATGCAGTTGACACTCCCGCTTCTTCTTGTCTTTTGGAGACCCCCATTGCCATGAGTCCATCTACCACTCCATTGCAGGAACAACAGCAGCATCAACAACAAGTCTATCTGATGGAAGGAATTCCAGAGCATTTGGGAAAACAGCAACAGCTTTCCACTCCTCCTCCCGACGATTGTTCGTATGAATCACTCTTGTCCTCTCTGGGAGAAGGCGACGAAGGGTTTGTGGAGGATGACGACCAAGACAATCAATCCTTTTACTTTACGCCTCTCGAAGAACGACCGTCCAATCGAATGGAACGACTCCAACGAGAGCTGCAGCTAAGAACCGAGCTGTTGCAGTATCTGGCAAAAGGACAACCACCCGACTATGTGGCCAAGCTGAAACAGCAAGAAGAAACCGTACAACAATGGACACTCCAAGTGGCACAGCAAAAACACAATGCTCGGCGACAGCGAAGAGAAGAACGACGGAGACAACGATTGCGAGAAAAGTCACTCCATCAACAAGAAGAAGAAGAAGACACGCAATTGCAGACGCCATCCACAGCGGGAGATAGTAATGAAGCTACCGTTAGTCATAATAACACGGCTTCTCATCATCCAGTCACACCCAAATCACTCCAATTTGCAGCAGCAACCACATTGCCAGCCACGACGGAAACACAACCACAACCCACATCACTAGAGTCTCCCGAGATTTCACCCACATCGTCCGTCTCTGGCAACCACAACAACATCAGTTCCAATAGCACCAACACTCCAGCCACCATCACTACTACTATAGCCACCACACTGCTGCAACGATTCCTCTCGTACGATTGGGACTTTGAACGGTACGAGGGAATCCCCGCCGTGGTCTCCCTCTTGCTCGTGTGCGTGGCCCATTGTGCCCTCTACGAACTCGTATTGGCACTGGTATTGATCTGTTTGCAGCCGTGGGTATCCTATCGGATATTGACCGATCAAAACGACAATATTCTCGAAGATAAAGACGTTTACGCACAAGAAGATATTGGATACGGGGTTGTCTTGATGGTAGGAATGATGATTGCCAGATGTTCGGGATTGCTCTACAGTTTTTCCAAAAAAACAATTCCCAATGCCCCCAAACCCCATGAGTTGTACATGTATCCACATCGCATCGACCGTAATTTGGCTAGATGGATGCATTCCACCAAACACGGTCGTCTTGTCAAGGGACTATTGGACGTTCTGAGCTTTTATCTCTGCTTTGTTGCCATTATGTACTTTTTGAATCGATTTGCGCTCTGCGTCGATCAACGGTCCTCTATTTTGGAAAACATGCCCAGTGCCGTCAATAATCGGACACAACAACAACAACAATCCAGGACAAGCTGTCTACACGACGACAAGAATGCCAGCATGTGCCCGCTCCATGTCAATGACGTACTGTTGCCACAAGATCGTGTGGTTTCGTTACGACTGGATCAACAGCATTACTTTCAAGTAGTAGAAGAAGAAGAAATGGACATTGACGACGAAAAGAAGCATGCCAGATTCCTACACATGTTGTTGGAATGGGATGGAATCCCCGTGTGTCCGGGAGTGGAAGATGAAGAAAATGACGATTCAGAAGACGACCAATACTTCCAAGTAATAGAAGAAATGGACCAAGACATCGACGACGAAAAGAAGCATGCCAAATTCCTCCATATGTTGTTGGAATGGGATGGAATCCCTGTTTGTCCGGGAGTGGAAGATGAAGAAAATGACGATTCAGAAGACGACAACAATGATGATGTCGAAGAAACGGACAACGATGACGACGGTAACAACGACAATGAGCCAGTGGACAATGACGACGACTTGCCGGTATGTTCGCTATGGGAGAACGCAGAGGAGGCAGCAGATGCAGTGGAAGTCGAGAACAACGACAGTTACGACGAAGATGAAGAGGACGAAGAAGAAGATGACGACGGTAACAACGACAATGAGCCAGTGGACAGTGACGACTTGCCGGTGTGTTCGCTATGGGAGAACGCAGATGCGGTGGAAGTCGAGAGCAACGATAGTTACGACGAAGATGAAGAGGACGAAGCAGAAGATGAAGAGGAAGACGCAGACACGTTTCGCAGCCTCTTTGAGCTTGTGCCTCGGCTGCCAATGTGTCCTGTGAATGACTCTGTACCAGTAGCAGTTGAAGAGATGGAAGTCAAAGTCAGCAACCCAAAACAGACGGAAAAAGATGATGATGACAGTGACGACGATGATGACGACGAGCCCTTCGACAGCAACAAGACATTTTCCTTTGAATGGGATTTGCCCGCATGCGACGACAATATCAAGGAGAAGAATAGGTACGGCAACCGCATCGTCTGGGAAGGTGGGCACGAAGACGAAGAGTATCTGTATCGAAAGTTGTCTGCCTCGGCGTATCATCAATTCTGGGGTTATGGGTACCGGGCAGCTATGTTTGATTTGCCACGTCAATTGTTCTTCAACTTTGCTTGTTCTGTTGTGGCGATTTACTTGCTCAAGCGCTACTTTGCATGTTCCTTTTGGGAGGATTGGTAGTCGGCCTCAGGCTGCCATTCATAAGAAACAGTATACTAGTAGATCACTTACATTGAGCTGTGTGTCGCAAAACGGGGCCTTCTTTCTTTCTCTAGACTTTGCATGCTTTCTTCATTATTAGAGCAGATCAGACTCGCAACTACTTGCAGTGCCACCGCTGGAAGAACTGCTGGTCAAGTCAATGCCGAATGCGGTCTTGGCCGTTTCCCAGTCTTCTTTCATCATTCCATCGGGAGTATAGTAGCATTTCACTCCCAAAGTTGATACATCACGTATATTGCCGTATTCGTTGTCGAAGAACACCATTTGCTCATACTTGATACCCGTCTTACGATGCAACCTCTCAAAGTGGTTGACCTTGGAGCCGTAAGATATTTCCACCATTCCTTCTTTGAAACAGGACCCCAGGGTGGTGCCATTGTCGTTTATAACTAGGTGTCTCAAACATATTTGAGCCCAGCTCGGCTCGTCTGTCTTGGAAGCAACGGCTGCTTGAATATCATATCCCAGAGACTTCATGGTTTCAATTTCGTTCAAGGCAAACGCTCTGTTTGATGATGAGAGATTACCAGATCAGAAGAGGGAACAGAGGAATAACCACTTTGTGTGGCAACTTCTTCTTAGATGTTGTGGGGGAACTTACGCTCCTTTGAACACTCGCATTGGTGAGTAGCTGTTGCCAGTCAGTACATGGCCCTCTTTTTTGGTCTTGGCCTCCTCAAGCACCTCGGCTGACAATGCTTGGTTGGATCTCGAGTCGATTGGAGTCAGCCTTGGAGCACTGTACAGCTGGTACATCTGAAATAATATTGTTGTACGGGTTGTTTACTTCATGAGAGATGATCCTTGAAACAACAGTGCGACGATGCCAGTGGCAACAGAGACTAAACTCATCTTTTGTCGACGATCCGAGGAAACAACTTCTTCATGCAGTTCCTACAGGAGCAGTACCTGGTACCGGTACCAGGTATTTTCTCACCTCAGGTTGCCAAATGGTATAATCGAGATCGAATACAACGAGTCTCATTGCTTCTCCCATTGTCCTCCTTTACGCTGCTCTGTCTCGGTCAGTCGAGATCTGAATGATCAATCGAATCGAATCAATCTGAACAAAGCAACGGTGAAAGTGACGCCAAAAGCCAAGGCGGCATGGCCGTTGCTTTTCTCGAAGACGTTTCTCAATACAGCGGAGCTGGAATATTAATAAATCAAATCATGAAGAAATCTGAGGCATATCTTCCCTCCTCGCTCTTCCAAAAGATCAGGATAAGTCCGGAAACTGAGGGCGTCATGGGATGGGATGTACCGGTATCTGTACCGGTACGGGGATCTAGAGTAGGGAAGTTATCATGGGATGGTTGGCTCTGAAAACGTTTCGGGCCATCCTTACCGTATTGCAGGCTGTTGATCAGAGCAAGAGCAAGAGAGAGGATCCACAGCAGTTTCTGCTGCACAAACCTGACATAACCTGCATTTGCAATTTGCAATGTGCCTATTCCAATTGACAAGTGGGTATGTTGTATACACAGGGCTCAGCTTATCGACTCTTGCTGTGCCATCGTTCTATACTATCTGCACCTGAGCATCCAACTATCCGAGTGGGCCATTGATTGACAGGATGGCTCCGAATAGATGTCTCTAGTTAGAAGTGCTCCCTCTTGTGTTTCATCAGTGTATGCTGTAATAGCTAACAGAACGGCACCAAGGAGGACGAACTTCCCATGAAGAGAATCATGTCCCTCAAGAAGTACTGGTACTCTAGAGCAGAGGATGGGATTTTCTACCGGTACGCAGTCCTTCTTTGTACTTACCTGCTCTCGCACATACATGGAGATACCTCCAATTCGGATGGGCTGGAGCTTCGGAATGCATGAAGCGTGGACGAATATCTACAATGTCTGTAAAAACGAAGCAACTTGTAAACTACGAAAGACTACGTATGGAAGAACTTGTACACTACAAGCTCATACTACAAGACGTGTCGAGAGTCTAAGCTGAGGGGAAGGATGAAAATGTGCACTCCGAATGACGCAACGCGTCCAGGGCGCGATCCCTGCGTTCTTTCTGTCGGGCAAGTTCCATGGTCCGGCTATCTCGAGCCCTCAAGCGCTCGTCGAGGCTCCTCTGGTTTTGCTCTTCCTGTTCCTTGCGCCTTGCCCAATCCGCATGGCGCCTTCGTTCTTTGGCTCGATGGGCAAGCGACTTGCGTCGTTCGTTTTTGCAGCTCTTAATGTACCCCTGAACATCGATTCTGGCCAATGCCTCGATCTCCTTGTTTCGACCTTCGAGATCTCGTTCAATCTGTAGTTGATTGGCCTCCTCCAGTCTGTGAATCATTGCCTCCTTTCGACGAAACTCCAAGGATGTCCTGTCTCGTTCAGAGCACTCTTTTTGGTATCTCGCCACGTCCTGATGGTCTGATGACAGGCAGTGAGAGCGAGTACACAGATAGTTGGAAAAATAAATAGTGAGTATGACAAACATCGTGATCGGTCGGGAAGATTGAAGAAGGGAGCTGCACACGTACCTGCTGCCTTGAGCTCTTCATCCTCATGGACCTGCACGAGCTCTCGTCGCCGCACTTCGTCCTCAACATCCCGATGTCGTTTGCCTTCTTCGTGACGAAATTGAAGGGATTTGCGCCGCTTCTCCTTTTCATCTTGCAAGTACGCCTTTGCATCTTCCTCTCCTTCCCACTTGAGAGCGTAGGAATCCGCTTCGTGAGCCTTGGAAATAACATTCAGTTCCTCCATCACCTTTGCATGACGGACTTTCTCCTCGTTTCGACGGGCCAAGCTCTCCCGTCGCTCCTGTGCTGTTTTCTTTTGGTATTCCTCTGCGTCTTTGCTTGCGGCACGATTCAACTCGAAGCTCTCGTGTTCAGCTCGAAGTTGGGCTGATCGCTGCTCTGCAGCTTCTTTCCGTTGATCTCGAGCCTCTGAGTTGCGAGAGCTCAGGCTGTGCCTCCTTTCTTCCTGCAGGGACCTCAAATAGGCTTGAGCATCGCGTTGGCCATCCCACTTCAGATCATACATCTCATGCTGTATCTGTAGTTCTTGGGTACGGCGCTTTTCTTCCTCTTGGCGTTGCTTTTTGGCTTCTTGATTTCGCTGGTTCAAACTCTTGCGGCGATTCTCTTCTAGTTGTCGTTGGTATGCTGCTGCATCTTTCTCGCCAGCAAATTTCAACTCCCAAGACTTGTGCTCATTTTCCAGTCGAGCAGCCTCCTCTTCGCTCTGCTTCTTGCGAATGGCTCGAGCGGCCTCCCCGCGCTGTTCCAAACTCATTCGTCGCATACTTGCTTCGTTCTGCTTGAAGGCTTCGACATCTTTGTCTGCTGCAAACTTGAGCTGGAAACTCTTGTGCTCTGAGGCTTTCTCCCGACCTTGTTGTTCCGACAGCAACTGGCGATGCTTTCTGCCTTCTTCGTTGCGGAATGCGAGACTGTCTCGACGCTGCTCTAGCTGCAGTTTCTTGCAGTTGTCGACATCTCGATCGGCTTCTCGTTTCAAATCATAGCTTTCG